CAGAGTTGCCTAGGAAGAAAGGCCTGTTGATCTGCTGGCAGAACACAGCCACTGAAAATGCTATGGGCACGGCTCTCTGCTGACACACAGGCGGTCTGGGCCATGCCCGTCATTAAAGCCATGCTCCCCTGGCATCCCCTGCACGTCCCCACCCAGCACAGGGGTGTCTGGTCTCCTGGCCCCGTGTGCTTCTTCTCTCAGGGCACATGTTTATCGATGGACAGGCTCAGGGACAGGCCTGAGTTCTGGGGTCACTCCATACATCCTTCCAGCTGCCCGGGGAGCGCACCCTCACCCTCAGCAGTGAGGCCATTTCCCTCTCTGGTGGCCCGGCCCTCGGCGCTGGGCCCCAGGACACCTTAGATGGGCCCTTGCTGGGCTGCCTTCCCCCACTCAGCATCTCCTGGCCTCTCTTTAATGCTCACACTGCGTGCCCCCTGAGGCCAAGAAGTGCTTCTCTCTAGTTACAATGGAATGCAGTGTTTCTGTGAATGTCTTCATCACTAAGGTCTTGATACCATGGGTTCAAGTGCCTGCTCGTGTGTGTGTGTGTGTGTGTGCGTGTGTGAATACCCATGCATGTGGGCATGGGCATGTGTACATGCGAGTGTGTGAGTGTATGCATGTGTACATGAGTGCCCACTGGTGTCTGTAGGAGTACAGGTGTATGCATGTGGCTGTGTGCATTGTACACACATGTGTGGGTGTTGGCATGTATGCACATGCAGGTGTGTGCATGTGTGCGTGTATGGATGAGTGCACATGTTGGCATGTGTGCATACTTGCATATACGCACGTGTGTGTGCATGCATGTGTGCATGTTCTATGTGTGTTTCTCCTCCTTTCTAATAGACTGCCTTTTACCAATGGAGAGCCTGGTCCCGAGTGACTTCCCAAGACACTGAGCTGGGCATCTTGTGCCTGCTCTTCCTTCACTGCCTCCTCCCTGTTCTCATTTCTCCGTATAGTCCTTCCCTCCCCCATGCCCCCAATACCACAAACAAATAAACCCCCCAAGCCCACTTCCACAGAGTCAGTTCCAACTCATAGCGACCCTCTGTCGGGTTTCCCAGACTACAGACCTTGTTAGGGGCAGGCAGCCTCACCTTTCTCCCATGGAGCAGCTGGTGGGTCTGAACCAGCAACCTTGTGGTTAGCAGCTCAACACCTAACCCACAGCACCACCAGGGCCCCTGAGCATATGCTGGCCCCACACCCTGCCCAGAAATCTGACCTGGTGCATCCCTCCAGTTTGCAGATGGTGTCTACCTGGTTCTGCTCATGGGCCTGCTGGAAGGCTACTTCGTCCCTCTGCACAGCTTCTACCTGACCCCAGAGAGCTTCGACCAGAAGGTACGCAGTGCTATGTCTCTCTTGGTCCTCCGGAGGGAGCACGCCGTGCCGAACAGCCCCTGACCACGCTCCCTGCAGATGGCATCCTGAGAGCTAGGGGGGCTCCAGTCAGCCCCGACTCACAGCAACCTGATGTACAGCAGAAAGACACCCCCCCCC